CCACAGTCTTCCATGGTCACTCATCTTCTTCTGATGGTTACTTCCAGCAGGATAACACAAGAATTATGACAGTTGTGAAGGTAAAAGGAACAACATGTACCTAATAAAGAGGCCTGTAAGCTCATATCCACACACAAAACAACCGAAATGAGATGCAGAAATCATGTAAAACAAACACATGTAGACACAAAATATCCCAAACGTGACTCGATATTATCATTGTGACACTAAACAATCAGAACTGTATAAAACAGCAAAATTTAGGCAAAAAAAGAGAATAGAAATATGTACACAAATGACAAAATTTTAAAAATACAGTAAATAACCACAAAACAACTAAAATTACGCAAAACATATGTTGAGAGAAACTATTTAAATGCCTTAAAAATCTTCACTTCTCTTATCCAGCTTCTCACCTCGGTCTTCCAAGCCCTGGATCATCCCCTGCAGGACGTGGGCCTTCACTGTGCTCTGGGTCCAGTGCTGCTGCAGTGCAGCCAGGACAAAGCCCCCCTCTTCACTCTCCTGCGTCCAGCTCAGGCCTTCAAAGTGGCAGTTGTACAGCACCAAAGGGTAGTCTACTGCCATGCTGAAGATGACACAGATTCATATAATAAATATATTATTTTTATTTGAATATTTTAACCACTTCTACAGCAGTCAGTTCACCTGTACTGGGGCTTCCTGGGGTTATTCTCCACATCCAGGAGCTGATTGATTATATCTGCGGCTTCCAGCTTCTGTCCAATCAACAGAAGCACCGCCATCATGCACCGTACCTGCAGCACATAAAAGGAAATAACCAAAAATTCACTACATACCACCAAACCATTCAACCTTAAACTCCATCCTCTGATCCGGTTTCTCTAAATCTAAACTTTCACATTAAAAAATGTTTGCAAGAGATGAAGGGTAAAGGGAAAGCAGCGTAGAGTAACTCTCTCCTGGTACCTGGTGGTAAAGGAAGGCTAATCCTTTGATCTCAAATATGAAGAGGTCATACTGGTCTGTGCTGGAGGCATGCTGAGGCTGCGCAGGCTTGACTGTGGCTGATAAGATGGTCCTCTCGAACTGCAGGACACCGTTGCCCACGTCCATTTTACACAGGTTCCTGAAGTCATGAGTCCCCTCATATCTGCCGGAAGCAAGGAGGTTGTCAAATAAGGGCTAAGTTTTAAAGGTGTGTTTACCTTTTATGTGTTCTCCACCCACCTTTTAGCAGCTTCCGCCATCAGCACCACATCCAGAGATCCTCGGGGGAAGTAGTAGCGGTACGTGCGGGACTGACAGTCGAAGCGTGCGCTGAAACCCTCCACTACTGGTGCCCAGTCCAAGACCCTGATGTCCTGCGGCAGGACTCTGTTCAGCATCTTCACGTATGGAAGCTCAGAGGTGGCAGAAGAAGCGGCTTTGGTACTGACGTCAACATTTTCAGGCAGTGTGATGCCCAAACCGGCACAAAACTGCGTGGAGCGCAAGTCGATGGTTATGACCTGCGGGGGGGAAAATTAACCACATGAAAAACTATTAATAGTATTAAGGTACAGAGTCTTTTCAGGTTAAAATGGAGGTCGATGATAAGCTGTGGTAACTCATAAAGGACAGAAGGAGGACATGAGTAAAAAATATGTATCTCTGCTAACTCACTTGGGAAAAAGCACTGACTCCTTTATCAGTGCGCCCACAGCGGTGGTAATTGGAAGTCTGGCGGTCCTGGATCAGCCGAGTCTTTAGCAGGGCTTCAAAGAGTCTGGCCTCCACAGTGTTGTCCGTGTTCTCCTGGACTGCAAACCCCTGATAGGCCCACCCCAGGTAAGCCAGCCGCAGAGCCACATGGCGCCGGGGGTGTGCAGAGAAGTCAAAAGGACGATCTTTTCCTGATTTCTTTCTCTCCTTTTTGCTGCTGCCAGTGTTCCCATCAGATTTACAGTCTTCATTAAGGGATGGACTGGATGACATTTCAACATCTCCAGTTTCACTGCTCTCTTTCAGCTGGGACCTGAGCTTCTCCAGCTCAGCCTCCAGCTCCTTTATCCGCTGGATTAAAACATCTGACATGCTGCTTGGAAGAAAGAACAAAGGAAAGAACATTTATTTAAGAATTTACTTAAATAACTCTACAAATAATCAGCCCAGCTTATATTCAATGAAGCCTACGTAATCATCCTCTTAGTTTAATTCATGTCAAAGTTTATTTAAGGGTTTTTTTTGGTCAACTGTACTACAACTGGGATTATTTTTATAAAGCGAACTGAACGCTACACAGCCTGCTAGCTAGTGAACGAAGTTAGATACGAGGGATTTAGTGAGATTAACGAGGCCGTAAATTACATTACAGTTAATCTGTGTTTTTACCTGTATTTTCAGCCTCAATGTTTTCGATTATTCTGCTCCTCTGTTAGTTTTGCTTCTGGCTGTCGGGATCACGCATGCTACTCTCCCCGCTGATAAATTTATCGGGAGGCGGACGAATTTTGCCAACGGACACATTTCCCCCCCTTCACGGGATTTCTGGGAAATGTAGTTTAGTTGCTTAAATTTTCGTCAGCCGATGACTGCCATACTTAGCAGTTATTTTTATACTCCCCATGAGCGAACATACCATAATATGGGTAAAAAAAACAGGCCAGAGTTTATTTCTATAAGCTTGTCTTACACTATTAACTGTATCTATTACAGAAAACTATTATATGTATTCAAGGTAATGGATTTTTACTTTTTCCATCCCTAGCCTTTTCTTAGCCTAAAGTGCCATGTCCTCAATCATCTTTGTTCAGCTTACGTTTAAATTGTAAAAATGAAAATAATTTGACATTTTTCATTACTGTGGCATGGCTTTCTTTATATTATTATATACTAAATTTTGTTTTTGCTATTATTACATTTATAATGTTTAAGTCTTTGAAGTAGGTTGTGGCACTGAATTGCCTGTACCCAAACCTACTCTAAATAGGGCCCCGTTAGTCCTCGAGTCACCTGATATACAGCAGATTTTATTTGTTTGTTTGTTTGTTTTGAAATTCAATTAATCTAAATTTTTATGAGTATAGAGCCAAATCACAACAACAGTCACCTCAAGGCGGTTTATAATTTAAGGTGAAGACCCTTAAATAATAAAGAAAAGACCCCAAACAATCAACAAAGGCTATGATGACCCCCTATGAACAATTACTTGGTGACAGTGGGAAGGAAAAACTCAGTTTTAACAAGATCAAGGCTCAGGGAGGGACAGCTATCTGCCTGCTAAATGGTTGAGTGTTTGATGATGACAGGACAACCATTCGAGCTATTATAGTTTTGTATATTTTTTAATAGTTTGTGTTAGTTTTAGTCTTTTTAATTAAAAGTGTATGGATCACACATGCCAGGTACGATTTAGTAAAATCAGTACAGGTATTACAATAAAAACACATAACTTTTTGAAAGCATTTGAATCAAATTCTTGTAGACATCCGCACCTTGGAAATCATCTACCAGACTTGTATTAGCCTTTTTCACCCCATGTTTCAGATGAAAGATGACACAGTACTTTAATTCACAGTGACTGAGAAGCTCCTAGAAAGGAACCATGCGAAATCTTCTATTTTCCTGTCCAATGCACCTTCCTCGTGATTCCTGGTTTTTTGTTTGTTTGTTTTTTGTCAGGTCAGGAGAGCAGGAGTTCAAACACCAGAGGGGCGGACATATGGCAGTTATGCCTATAAAGGCATCGACAGCACCAACACTTGTCTTTAGACATCACAAAGAGGTGAAAAAACACACAAAAAAACCCTGAAACTGAGCTGAAAGTGTGTTTTTTTCCCTCCAGCTGTTTGTGAGAGTCTTTTCATTTATTTTGTATAGCAGTAGCTTCACAGGGTAAGTGGCTCCGCAGTGCTGTCAGGCACAACTGTTAATTATTCCAGATGCAGAGACAGAATTGGTCGAGCTTTTGCATTAAATCACAGTCTGCTCTTTTCTACATGTCCGATTACACATTAAATGGCATGTAATCACAGTTTGGTGTTTGTCTGCTGTGTCGCAAATAGTTTTTCAGGATGGCTACCAAACTAATCTGCCCTCTCTGCTCATTAAAGGGCCAATTCACCCAAAAACAAAACAAGCAAATAAAGACTGTCCATCCATAGAACTGGATCCAAAGTTTGGAAACGCTGATTCAGCTGTGAGTCATGGCCCTGGGTCAGTCGACCTTGTGTTTTGAATTTATGGTCTCTCATTTATTATTTATTATGCGATCCCAACATTGCGTAATATTTATATTATTTCTGGTAGTAATCCTCGTAGTGTGTTTAGTCTTGTTCTCTATTCTAAATTCCTTTAGAGTTTATGTGTCTCTTATTTTTTTCTTCCTCCTGTGTCAAGTTTCTTGTGAAGTTCATTTATATGTCTGTGTCCACCCTGTGTAATTATCACTTCCTATTTTACTTACTTACTAGGTGTGTTCTGTTTGCTTTTCTTTTAATTTTGCATCCTTGTCTTGTCGACTGTGATTCGGTTCGCCGTGTTTTGTTCTCACCAACTGTCTCCACTGACCCGAATCACTATCCTGTGTATATACTGTCTCAGTCTCCCTTTGTCAGAGTGTCAGTCATCTTCCTCTCTTGTCTCCCAGCTCCTGTATGCCCTAGCCCTAATTCCCAGTTTAGATTCTGGTAAGTTGAAGCTTTCAGTTTTCCTTTTGTATTTTATGCTTCATTTTGTATTTTGGTTCTTAGCCTGAATAAATGTTTCACTATTATCTCACCACCATCTGCCTCTATGTTTTCTCCTCACAAACGTCGCAATTTATGACAAACTAGTGCACTTAATTCTCGTTTTTTTTTAAAGACATTAGACATATAGCCTGTAAAATCATTCAACCCTGGAAAAGAACAGTCAAAAATATAACTAAAAGCTTAAAATGAAAGAATTCATGCCCATGATGAGTGTATGTAACCTTCTAATCACAACACACGTTTTTAATTGTTAAAAGCTAATTAAACAACACCACAAAACCCCAATGCGATCACATGTTTAATAATTATGTGCATAGCAAGCATGAATGTTAATTTAAAATAGATTTTTTCACCACTATAGCAGATCAATTTCTCTTTGTTAGATACCAGCTGCAATTATAGCAAGTATGTAGATAAGATTTTTTTCTAGACACAGTCGAGCATCCAGAGATAATAGAGCAGTGATGATGCATTAGCTGATGTTTTCGTAGTTCTTTCGCTTAATGTCCAGACACAAGCACACCCCGACTAATACTCCAAAAACCTGCAACAGGGAAAAGGTCAGAAGTTACTGGCAGCAAATGAACTCAATGGCACACCCAAAAGGTTATTTTCTTGTTCTGGAAAAAAGTAATTTTTTCTTCATTTCATCACCTGAGGTAGTCAGGATGAGACAGGCTTTATTATCATTCAAGTTATCCTCTGCTATTTAAATATTCTTTACAATGTCTGCTACTGCTGGAAACTAAATTACTAAATTAATCCAGTATACATGTTTTTATTTTTATGTAGAGACATTTGGGGTATCTTTAGATGTTTGACATTTCTGATTTTTCTTTGTCTTTTTTCCACCTAAAACAGATTAAAATGAACCTTTTGGGCTCACACTGGCTTCTGCACAGTTAATCAGTAGGTACGTGTGCTGGATTGGCATTTAAAATGATCATTTCTTACAGTAATATGACATTTACTCTTGCAATGTGAGCATTTTGCTTCACAGTTAAATGTGAGCAAGGGGAAATTGCAGAAGCTTACCTCCGTGACTCCAAGAGCAATGCAGACAGCGCCGACCCACACCAGATTTTTCAACAGGAAGACACTGATTGCCCAGAGGCAGCCCTGAGGAGGATCGCACGGTCATAAAATACAGTATTTGTTTGCAGAAAATAGATGAAAATTGCTAGAAATGATTTCCTGTCAGACCTTTTTATGTGCCTTCTCCTTGTCCTGTCCACAGCCCTCACTCTTCACCACGCAGCAGGAATCTGGCACGGCGTCGTGCTTTTCCCAGCCCGCGCTCTGGGACCAGTCGGCATAGCTGTCCGCACCACAACACTTGAACTGTAATGATAACGACACTGTGATAGTGAAGCACCAAAGCTGTATCAATCACTGGTTGTGACTATTTGTGGTTCACGATAAATATTCTTCAAGTGTTGCTTTGTAGAAAGTCAGTTTGTCTACTTAACTACTAATTTTCACACAGATGCTGAAGGCGTGTTATTTACACTTACTAGCCACTTTATTAGGTACACCTTGCTAGCATTAGGTTGGGCCTCCTTTTACCTTCAGAGTTGCCTTAATTCTTCATGGTACAGATTCATGCTGAGATGTAAGCCTTTGAACTTAAACTCCCTAAGTAATTCCAGCATTTTTCTCATTGCTGGTCTTTGTTAATTACCCTCTCACTCTTTGCAGATTGCCTTCACATATATTAAAGTTAGTCATCTTAATTTGACTGTAAACAAGAGCACTCAGATAGAGCAACTCCCCCCGAGTAGCAGGGGCAATACTAAACCTTTGATGTTTTATGATGTTTTTATTACAACATGCTGATGTCAGCCTGCTTTTATAACGACCATATAATATCCATAAAAGATTTGTGAGTAATATAAAATTTTTACTGATTTTCACATTTGGCGTGACCTCGGCCTTGACCTTTATCTGTTTTTCACCTAAATTAAATTAGCTTTTGCTGTTAATGGCATCCAGCAATGCACAAAATCTGAGCATGTCGTGTTGAAAACTGTGGACATTAGAAGGTGGGTACACTGTGGGTCGCAATGACATGGAGATGTTCAGCAATGATACTCATTTGGTACTAAGAGGGTGAAGAAAGTATCTTCTGCTGCATTAAACCACCAAGAGCTTGAATCATTGATACAATGCAGCATGGAGCCACGCTTTCATGTTTACACCAGATTCTGACCTTACCATCTGAATGTTGCAGCAGAAATTTAAAGCAGGCATCATTTTCCCATCAAGAGAGGAAATGAAGAGTCCCTATAAGGGGTTTTTGCACTTCCTCCAATCCATCAGGTGTTTCTCAAAAATACAGAACATTACAGTAGGCTCTGCGTGTCACCTTTTCCTGAATTTTGTCAATTGCATGTCTCCTCTCAGGGCTGTAGTCGTTAATCACTTCCTGTGCTTTGGCGTTGACACCATTAGCCATCTGCAGAAGGGCGGCCTACAGAGAAAATCAGATAAAATAACCAGAACAGACACTAGAACTTAGATATATTTTAAGTAATGCTACTGATATTATGACTGGAGAACCACTGCTAATGGCAAAATTTGACCTTGATCTCAAGTAGTTCCTTTCTGGTGCGATTTTAATGTCTTACCCTACTGCGAAATATGTAAAAGGCGGCTCCTGTGAGGACCTCCAAGAGGATGATCACTATCAGGATGCAGATGAACTATAGATAAAGAAAGTGAACGCTGTTAGAGATCTCCAGAACATCTCCAGTGCTCATTAAAAAAAGCTTTTGGAAAGAATCGCCACTTAATCACATTTAATTTCATTACAGTACTTACACAAGCAACCATAGATGAACTATTAAAGAATGCACCAATGTGGCCCAAGAGGGATACGAAGGCTATGATGACCCCCACTGCAATGAGGACTATAGCAATTTTAGACAAGTTGCTCCCTGTGAAGGTGCCGATATCTGAATACGTCGAGTACTGCAGCACTCCTATAGTGATGAGGGCAACCCCAGACAGCTGAAAAAAAGAAGTTTAACAGCAGGACAGCAATGTAGTGCTTTACATGGAAACACTAAATTAAAAAAGGGTGGTTTTGTTCATTCCTGTCAATACGACCTCATTTCAATATAAACTTACCTGTCCCTATGTTAAAAAGTAAAAGCAATTTTGAGACTCCAGCAAATGAAGCAAACTTGGAACAGTGGTGAACTTTCCCAGGAGTGGCCATCCTACCAAGATTACTCCAAGAGTTCATCGACGACTCATCCAGGAGGTCACAAAAGACCCCAGAACAACATTTAAAGACCTGTAGGCTTCACTTATATTAGCTGAGCTCAAGGTTCACGATTCAATAATAACAAAGAGACTGGGTGAAAATGGCATTCATGGAAGAAAACCACAGCTGACCACAGAGAACAGAAGAAGCACAAAGGCTCGTCTAACATTTGGCAGAAAATCTGGGTAAATATTTGGTGGATGGAAAAGACATAAGCTAAACTTTCTGGAAGGTTTGAGTCCCATTACATCTGACATAAAAATAACACAACATTTTATTTTTAAAAAAACATCACACAAGCAGTCAAACATGGTGGTGGTCTGTGATGGTCTGGGGCTTTGTTGCTACTTCAGGACCTGGACGAGAAAATCCTGAAGGAGAATTTCTGGCCATCAGTTTGTTCCCTGAAGCTCAAGAGCACTTGTGTTAGTATATGTTAGTATATGTTATTTTGTCCTTTATAATCATACGACCGTTGCCTGTTATTGGATTTTTGCCCTTTGACAGCTTTGTAATTGGATTGTGTGCTCTCACTGACTGCCTACCAGTGTGTGACATCCTCATCTTCAGTGTAACACGGCGTTATTTGCATTTCATAAAATTTGAATGTGTGTATTGCTGCCACAAAAAGTTATCAACCTTAATAATAGATCTCAAAAGTATGACATTTTTCTTGAAATATTTTTTAAAATAGATATATTTCATAAAGGTTACTCTGTGTGGGTTACACGTCATGCACCAGTTAGTATTTAGAGCATAAAATTTCTGGAGCGTGCACAGGACACCGTGCAGGTTTATCTGGCGATGATACTGATTAGCTTCTAAATTTGTTAAAGTTCCCTTTGCTCAGCTCAGCTGCTACAACCCCACAAGACGGCTTAATATGAGTGTGTTTTGGAAATTTGGAAGGGCAAATCAAGTCTCTTGTTGCATGTGTATCTTCCCTTGGATAATCCGGCGTGCAGTCAAAGTTTCCTGGACTTCTAAAAAGATATGAGTGATTCAATTTTGGCTTTATTCTTTCGTTACCTCTACTACTCCTGCTCTTTATTGATTCTAATCTTTCCATGATATCACCAATCAGTGCTGTCAATCATCACTTCTCATCAAAATTAGATAGAATAGAATTGCTCTATTACTCACCAAGAAGAGCGTGTTGAAGAAAATGAAACAACACTTGATGCCGAAGACACTGCACATTTTGAGGTGGTCTGAGCAAATAATAAATAAGTGAATCCAGAAGGTTGCAGACTTCCCTCAATCCAAATACGGGTCAAGTCAGGGTGAATAGAGTGCAATTCAGTGGCGAGTGTGTCATATGACCCTATGGAAATGAACCGGCAGCCCGATAGCTTTCAAGTTGATGTAGGTATCTTTTGAATGCATCAAGCCCGTCTTTGCATAGAGGCGTCACACATCAGTGAATACAAACTGCGCCGTAATATACGGTCATTTAAATACTGGGAATTTCACTCGACAAACATCTATAAATCTAAAAGGTCGCCCCCGAATATGAAGATGTTTTGTCTTTTTAAACATTTATGTGGCAGATGTTTGCAGATGTTCTGCCTCTCTTTGTAGGTGTTTTGGGACCTTCAGGTGAAGTGCAGGATCGTCTGTAACCAGTCTTCAGAGCTCTTTGATCTCTGTAGATTATTTAGATTTTATTGTGACTATTTTGTCTCATTTTGATCATTTTCTGTATGCGGTGTGTTTTGTAGTTCACAATCATAATCCATACATATCCCCTGCAGTGTAGACACTGTTGTGTGAATATTATTGAAGCAGATCCATTTTCATGACTAGTATGTTTAAAATAACATGCCATAACACTAAACACTAAACAAAAAGGTGCAATTTAAGTGTTTGTTTCTGTATTCTTATTAAAATCCCAATTAAAAGAAACAAACTTTTACCACAACAATTTTTCTAAATGCTGGAATATTTTTATTCAGTATTATTCTTTTAATTTTGTTAAAGTCCAGATACAGATAAATAAAATCTGCATTTTTGTCTCAAGAAATATATATAAGCAACTGTGATTATCTGATCTTGCTTCTTCAGGGCTCCTTCCTTCTGTTTGCGGACCAAGCTCTTTCTCACAGCTTCCCCACCAACACGTGGATCACAGGCCGCCTGGCTCGATTCACAGTGACCTCGAAATGAGAGGCAGAGATGCTTGTTGCACACTGCCAGAGTTCTCTTTGTTTCTCACATCTTTTTGTATTATTTTCCTTCTTCCTTCCTCTTTCGTTCTTCTTTGATGTTTGCTCTTTTCCCTCTCCTGCTTTCTCAGAGCTCAGGTCAGACTGCCTCGACCTGCGAAGAACAATGCTGCATCATATTTTTCTGTTTTTCCCTTTAACCACCGGATTGCAGGCTCTTTGAACGTCTGTCTAAAGGTTTCCTTCAAGAAGCAGTAATCATTAGAGAACTAACAGAGGGTTGGCTGTCAGTCAGGAGGCAGGTTTATCTGTTGCATCACAAGTCATTTGTGTTCACTCATGCCTGTGGTTTTGTCTGCCTTCTTCTCATCACCGAGTCTCTGTCCGTGGAGCCTTATCTGCTTGTTCTTATTTGCCTGCAGGATAAAGAAGAATATTTGAGATTACTTGAGTGAAGTCTGCTTCAGTGCTGATAGTTTAGCAAAGCAGTCAATTTTTATGACTTGAAAAAGTTAAACCCAGGACTTGGATGAACTTAAATATTCTCACGGATGGATCTTAAACACCAGCGAATTTAGTTTTTCAGCAAAGTAAACAATGGCAGATTTTATCACCTCTGCAGTGCGAGGCATATAGCCACAGGGGGGCTCCATTTCCAACCATTTAACTGTAATAACACTGACATTCACTAATATTTGGACTTCCATTGCTTCGATGTCACAGAGTGATGGAGAGATGGAGTCTGCATGTCTCTGAAGGAGTTTGTGGGAACAGGACGCAAAATGATTACAACATAGTCTGCATGTCTTTGAAGCACGTCATGAGAACAGGAAGAAAAATCATTACCATAGATGGAGTAGTCAGTCAGGGACGGAGAACATCGTCCTTCCTTCTCTTTGCTTTTCCTGTTTTGAATTCCAGGGCACTTCGTCAAAAGCTTATGTGACTTCCGCTTGATAAGAATCATTAGTCAGGAACGAGCTTGGACTCTAAGGCTGTGCTGTCTTGGATATTAATGAATATTAATGAAAAATTAATGAATATACATAAGTTGTTGGACAAAGACACACTTTCTTTTAGTTTTGCCTCTGTGTGGATAATAAAAGCTACACAAGACTTTTTCAAGATGAATGACAATGTTGCAGCCCAAGAGTTGCTCAAGGCAACAACATTCTTCAATGCCCAAGTCAGTCACCTGATCTCAACCCAGCAGAGCATGTGTTTCAGTTATTAAACACTCAACTGAATGCATGAAGACTCACAACCAAGCAGCAGCTGAAGGTGGCTGCAGTAAAAGCCTAACTGAGCATCTCAAGGGAAATTCATGACATTCTAGACCACAGGTGTCGAACTCCAGGCCTCGAGGGCTGGTGTCCTGCAGATTTTAGATGTGTCCTTGATCCACCACAGCTGATTTAAATGGCTAAATTACCTCCTCAATATGTCTTGAAGTTCTCCAGAGGCCTGGTAATGAACTGATCACTTGATTCAGGTGTGTTGACCTAGGGTGATATCTAAAACCTGCAGGACACCGGCCCTCAAGGCCTGGAGTTCGACACCCCTGTTCTAGACAGTCATAGACTGCCTAAAGTCTATGACAATTTAAGTTTTTTTTTTTAGATCCGTAATATATTGCTTTTGGGAGGGTTACATAAATCTGAAGTCTGCACTTCAGTTGCACATTGACTGCTTGAGTTAAAATCCACTGAGGTTAAATCACAAAATTGTGTCTTTTGTCCTGCAAATTATCAAGCTAACTGTATGTTGTACATTAATGATGTTATCCTATAGTAGATGGATTCATAAAGCGCATGTGCTGATTGCATTAAACAGTTTCTTTTTGATCACATATGGTTTATTTCTAAATAATATGAGATTCGATTAAGAAAGACAGAAACTTCTCTTCATGCATGGTGTATTTTCTGTTTTTATCTTTAGATTTTAGAGAAAAGCACAGCATCTACATACATTTTAAGATATTGTAAGAATTGTAAAACTGATGCATTGCATTCCAGTACCTGC